AACACACCCACACTCTCCAAAATCTCTTTAATCTCTTAATCTCTCTCCCACTATCCTAGTTTGGAGGAGCAATTGTATAAATCATAGAGGGGAATGAGATTAAAACCTAAATCCAACGAGTCACCCTAATGGAAACCCTCTTTAGTTGATTGAATATGCCAAAATCTAGATGTAAAAAGACAACTAAAATTTTGATTGACTCACCAGTAGCACTCAGAGGATATAAATCTCCAACAATTGTCTATGATGACACAATACTGCTTAATTGCATTATGGTTCAGGATAAGCAATGTTTTAGTGATTCCTAGGACTTATAAATTCAAGTGTAATATGGCAAGATACTCTTAATGTGATGACCGTGTCATCTTTTTCCCTTTTTTCTAGTTTATTTTGATTGTATTATTTTTTTTTGTCTTCTGGTCATGTGGGCCCAAGATTGGGTCAAGTGTTCGGAGATAGTTCTCGACACTACATTCATTTATCCTTGCACATTTTTCCCTCATGTGGACCCGAGACCGGGTCAAGTATTCAATTGGGTCATGTGTTGAAGTGGGATTGGAGGCATGTGGAGGGTGTGGATGGTTGTGTGTGAGAGAAGTAATGCTAGAGTAGGATTTTATGATATATATCATTGTTTTATATTCTTTTTCTCCTAATCTTTTTCTTCCTCACTTTATCTCACAAACTCCATTGAAACTCCCCCTTCCTTCTTCATTTTCTTTTCTTCTTTTGGGCTAGCTATAGAAGGGAAAAAGCTTGGGAACTCAAAGGCCATCAAAACCCTTTCCTTGGTTTTGCTATTGTGACATTTTCTTCTTGGATTCCTAGGGTTGCTTTCCCTAACGAGGTAGGGGGTGTAGTATAATTTTAATCTTGGCTTTTCATTGTGTTTTGGAGAGTTTCATATGCTTTGCTTGTGTTGGGTGAGTTGTGAAGGGTTTTACTTCTTTTTTTTTCACTTAACCTAGGCTCACATAATGTTCTAAAGCATGAGTATTTATAATCTTGTGATTAAGTTGTTCATGTAGTGAAGTTATATGATTTAATTTGACTTCATTGACAATTGAGAATAGTTGTTTTTATTTTTATTTTTTATATATAACTCTCATGTATATGAATTGTTATACATTATGAATTCAATCTTTGGGTGAGTTGTGTGGAAATGGTGTGTTAATTAAAGAGTTCTATATTGATGATTTTATGTATTAGGATGCTAAGTTATTTTGATGATTATGTTGATAGCATAATGAAAGTCTTGTTGCTTGGACATTGACAATCTCAATGCATTCCATCTTATCAAGGGCGGATCTAGAAATTGTCAATGGGGTGGGCTAAAATTAAATATAAATTTAATAACATAATTTCTTAAGCAAATTTTTTTATTAGGGCTTGTTTGGCTTGGGCATTTATTTTAGTATTGTGGCTTAACTGACTTGGGCTTGTTTGGGTGGGCTAATACTAATCAAAAATTTTATTTTTTTGGCTGGGTTAAAAGTACCCATAGTAATAAATTTTTTTTTTTTTTTTTTAGGTGGGCTAGAGCCCAGCCCAGCCCTCCCCTTGATACGCCATTGCATCTTATCTATATTCATTCCATGACTTAATGTTAAGGACCTTAGGGCATGGTTTATGTGAATTGCAATCTTGGTGCATGTGCTTGTAGAGTACATTATTTGACTTGAAGTGTATATGATACATTGGGATATTCTTGTTGATTTTGGGTGATACTTGGGACAATTTTTACTTTCAGAATGCTAGAGCTTGGCACTAGCGGGCAAAACTAGGGTTTCCCCAACTTTATAATGGCCATTAGGTTTGTCGCCTATGGTTTAGTAGACCGATAACGACTATTTTACCGGTTCATGCAGCAGGTATGACTGGGGGTGTGTATGCATCCAAGTTATCCCTATTATGTGATTTTGTATTTGGTTTCCAAGTTGACATTTTAATGTGGTTGTAGCTTAGATTACTTTGTTATTGTGGTATACCTATTGCATTATATATATACATACCTGAGTTGGTTTCTCATTTCATGATTCTAATACTAATTCTAGGATGATTCCTTAGACCTACCATTGAATTAGACGAGTAGGCATGTACCACACTTGTATATCTTGTGTTATTCTTGCAAGGCCAATGAACCCTTGGTTGTCTTTATAATGCACTTTCCTACGGAGTAATGTCAATTACTCACTCCCGTTGATTAAATGTTTTTTTTTTTATTACAAAAAATGTGCTTTACTTTGATCGTACCTCCCTCTTAGTGGATGTACCTTGTGTTCTTTTGAAACTTCCTTTGGATAAACTTATATCTAATGTGCTTGATATGTTTTGATGTAACCTAGTAGACATGTTGTAATTGGGATATGTTATACCCCTTTTGAAGGGAGGAAATGAACCGAGAACTAATTGACATCCTTTGAGAGTTCACGAGTCATTTCCAATTTAGTAGTCTCTTTTAAATATAATGCAAATGTTGTAATGAGACCAAAGACCATTTTACTTTAGTGTATTTTTTTGGTTCCTTTAATGCCTTTTCATGTATTGTCATTTCATTCTTGCTTCATTTTGAATTGGGATAGGCTTTAGAGGTCCTAATGACCATTTTTTAATCAAAAAGGGAAGTTTCACAAAAATTAGATTTTGGCTTGGGCTCGGGTACTGTTCACCAGTGCCCAAACTTTCTTAGCTAAGCGCTTGCATGACACTTCCGAGCCCTCAGAGCATGTCAAGCCCCTTGCGCACGCGTGGGAGCACCTAGACACTGTGTGAGTGCTCGCACAATGCCTCTGAGTGCTCCCGGGTCCCTTCATATGCACACCTTGTTGAATTCTCTGAAAGAACTCATGAATAACAGGAGTGTTCAGGCCAAAATGAACATAACCGTGAGAACCAACTCTATGCAAAAAGAGACTATGTGTTAGCTATCATCTTAGTTTACACAAACGGCTAATAAATTCAAGACATCATGTTTACTGGTTAGTCGGTATATCCGATAATTATGTACTAGAGAAGATTCAAGGCCAAAAGTTATCTATCCCGATATAGTAACTTTTAAAAAATGTTCTCTCTACAATGTCTATTAAGTTGTTTGCGTTTGAAGCCAATTCCCTTTCATGGTGGGGATTGTAAGAAACTAGTATTTTCAACACAAATTTGGATAAAAATAAAAGTGGGTCTCACTATTATTTTGAGGTGGGTTGATGATAGTGGAATGCACGCCTCTTCGAGAATAAACAATTGTAGTATATTTACTTGTTCAATACTGTTTCCGGATAAATAAGAAATTGAGTCGAAAGTAAGGTGTTTGATAAAACATTTAAAAAGGTGAAATTGGGGTATTGAAAGCTTATTCCACGTTGGATTCTTAAGGAAAACTTGGTGTATTTATATATAGAAAGGTGTAAATGAAATGTTACAACTAATTAAGTGGTGTAGTGGGTAAGAACCCTCGTCCATGTTGTGCTTGACCCATCCAAAAGAAGCACACGCGCACACACCACCTGCCTATCTTGGTCCGGTGTTGGGTTTGGGATTGGGCTAGAAAAGAATTAATTATTATTATTTTTTGGTTTGAGATTGGGCCTTAGGGTGCGTTCGGGCTAACCAGAAGCTTCAAAAATCCAAATTAATTCAGTTGACCATAGGCTAAGCCCAATTCGTTGATGGTTAGGGGGTGATTATTCGATTATTACTCGAATAAGAACTTGGGTCAGTAGTTGGGCCAAACCATCACAACCAGTAATGGTTCGGACACTCAATGCTTGTTCGGGTCACACCGCGTGAACAGCCACCTCTGGTCAATAAATACCAAGGCTTCCATATGCAAATTCAATATTTAGAATCCAGATTTCCTCTCCTCTCCCCTTCAAGCCTAACCCAAACCGTGGTCAAGTGAGTCTAACCCAAGTGTTCGTCGTCAAGTAGTTCGAGTCTAATCCTATGGGTTCTAAGGTTTAGTCTAAAGCAGTTCCATCGGTGTTTAGTGTTACTACCAGCCTATATTCGTTGTTCCCATCATTATGTAGTACTGCTATTGTGAAATGTGTAGTGTTGCTACTGGTGAAATGAAACTATTATATTCTAGAAGACAAACACTAGTGAAGATTGTTCAACACCTAAGGAATGAATCTAGATGAATTTCTTCTTAAAGACAAAGTATCAAATACTAACATCGGTCCATTAATAACAATTTTTTAAAATTTTATTTATTTATTTCTTATTAAGTGTCTCTATATGTGTTATTTTAATATACTAGCATACTCAAATGTAACATTCTTGGATATATACATATATAGCATGTTATAAAATTATTTTAAGTAACATAAATGACATGAAATTTTCCACAATAAAAATACAAAAACTTCAAAGACGGCCACCAAAGGGCAAACACTAATAAAGCAGCTCACAAAATCGATTTGCAAGTTGCAGAACCAAAACTAACATAGCTGGAACCAGAAAATAATACAGGAATTTATTAAAAAAGTGCAAATAGTATTCATAAAAGGACATTTTAATTACTAGCTGTTGTCCAAAATCATTAAATTTTACACTAAAAGAAAAACAATTTTTTATCACACCCTTTTTACCACGGTTTTAAAATAACCGTGGTAGAAGACACTTTCTACCATGGTTTTAAAATAACCATGGTAGAAAATATATATTTTACCTCGGTTATTTTAAAACCGTGGTAGATGATCATTTCTACCGAGGTTAAGGAAAAATCGTGAGAGTAATTGTATTTTCTTACCATGGTTATAAAAGAACCGTGGTAGAAAGTGAATTTATTTCATCACGGAATAATCATGGTAGAAAGTGAATTAAGAAAGTGAAATAATATGACTCAGATTTAGGCCTGCTCTTTTTACCATGGTTAATGAAAAACCATGGTAATAAGTTATTCTACCACGATTTAAGGCAACGTGGTAGAAAGTGAATTTGGTTTAAGGGCTGTACGCGGGTCATATTCCCGCTACTTTCCTAAAATTATAGGGCAAATCATTTTAAACCACACACATACGCCTCCATCTTTATTCTCGTTCTCAACTCTGAACTTGCCCTCTCTCTGTCTCTGCGACTGCAAACTACAAAATCTACAAGAATCAGATCAGCCTCCCAAATCGCCTCCATCTCTATTCTCGTTCTCAACTCTGAACTTGCCCTCTCTCTGTCTCTGTAACTGCAAACTACAAAATCTACTAGAATCAGAGCCCATATTCACATATCATTTCAGATTGTTCAAAATAGCAAAACCCATATCCTTTAGTTTCCATCGCCCGCTGTTCTAGTTCGGGTTCGCCGTTCGCAAGCTTCAGCCGCTGGCCTTCTGTCTCTTAACTCTCAAGCCCCTTTCTCTGCAACTGCTAACTTGTATGTATGGGTTTTATTTTACTTTTTTTTTTTCCTAAATTAATTAATCAAGGTCTGTAATTCTTGTTTTGCAAACTAAATCATATTTAGTGAAATTTTTTGCAGGATTTGAAAGACTAATTGGTAAATTTGGGTTGAAACAAGCTGAAGGCCCTTATATAGGTAAGTCATTTCTTCAATTATTCAATATAAATATTTTTAGGGCAAATCATTTCAGCCTCCCCAATCACCTCCATCTCTATTCTCGTTCTCGACTCTGAACTTGCCCTCTTTCTCTCTCTCTCTGCAACTGCAAACTACAAAATCTACAAGAATCAGAAGTTCGAAACCATATAATCGCTGGCTCTCTGTCTCTCAACTCTCAAGCCCCTCTCTCTGCAACTGCTAACTTGTATGTATGGGTTTTGTTTTAAATATTTTTTTTTTTTCAATTAATCAAGGTCTGTAATTCTTGTTTTGCAAACTAAATCCTATTTAGTGAAATTTTTTATGAACTTTTTTATTTTTTTATGAATTTTAGTTATAAATATTTGTGAAGATAATGACTGAATTTGTGGAATTCTGAAATTTTAGTACTGGGTAGGGGTCAATTTGATACTGCATACTTGTATCAGAATTGGGTTTTTGGTACTGGGTAGTTTCACAGTTGTAATTTATTTTTTCTTTAGTTTGTCTACTGTTCTTGTGAACTAGCTAATTATTGAGTTATTTGATTTTATTTCTGAATTGAAACTTGTATGATTATATGGTTTGATTTGATATGGTGACTATAGCTTCAGCCCCTTTCAATCGTGGGTATAAATTCTTAATACATTTCACAATAAAAGTTTCCTTCATACTGTGTGTGTGTGTTTTTGGTTAGCATTCTTTGGGTATTCTAAAAGGAAGTTCAATTTTATGCTTCAGGGAAGTGGAGTCGATGTCAAAGAGATCACTCCGCAGTAATGCCGAGAAATTTGAGTTTCAGGCTGAGGTGTCTCGGCTCATGGACATCATTATCAACTCTCTTTACAACAACAAAGATATTTTCGTGAGGGAGTTTATCTCCAATGCTTTTGATGTGAGCATATTTTACTTGTAAATTTTTTGGGATTGTCAAATTTTTTTGATGATTATTTATGAGATATAATTTCAATTTCAGGCGCTGGACAAGATTAGGTTCCTTGCACTCACTGACAAGGAAGTTTTGGGTGAAGGTTATAATACTAAGCTTGAGATCAGGTTAGTAAGGGATGGTTTTAGTATTGTACTTGTAGTCTGACATTTGGTGGTGCCTTTGCTTTGTCTGATTCATTGATGAATTCTTGGCACTCGTTTTGCTTAAAGTTATCCTGGCACGCGTGAGAGAACTTGGATATTATATTCAAATTAGGTGTGGGAAAACTTAAAAAAGGCCGGTAGTCCACCATGTGTCTTACAATCCATCTGCCTCTCTTTCCCTTTACCACCCATGAAGAAAAAAATTAATTGGTGCATTAATATGGGGAAGGATTTCATCTGTTAGACAATGGAAAGCAATTCTTCCCTGAATATATTTTTTTCCTAGTATGGACAGTTGTATTGGTCTATGATTTTGTTTAGGTTGGTTTGGTTATGTATAGAAGAATTTATAGTTGATCAACTAGCTGTGGGGTGCGGACATAGAGGTGAGTCAGGTGACCTCAAAGAGATACATTATACCATGAGTGAGAAGAAAATCAAAGGATAGATTTTTGCTGCCCTATGCAAACAGAGGCAGCAGATCAAATATTATATGATTATTTTTCACGACGACATCTTTGATACGTAATTTGTTGCAATTGAATTCTTGAGTTGCCATTTTTTAGTAGCAGAAATATGGTCCTGATTTCTGCTACTGAACTTAAGTATCTCATTTTTTGGCAGTAGTTTCACTGATATAGTGAATTATACTTTATGTGCGTGATTTATATATATGCTTGCTTCTATTATGAAAATGTTAAGGATTGAAGAATCTTATACCCCTTTATTCTCTGGATGGATTTCCTCAAGATTTATTGTTTCCACTTGTGTTTGCTTTATTATAATATGAAGAGTAGATCTTTCAATGTACCTTTATTATAATGCTTGCTTTGCTTGGTTTAATTTTGGCAACTTTAAAACTTGCTTTACATTAAATTTCTTACTTCAACTATTACATCTTTGTAGGTCAAAGCTAGGATTGCGGGTTGCCGTTGCCGTTACTTTTTTTGTTGCGGCTATATTTTTTTTTGGCTCGTGAAGAAGTTGCAAGAAGATATGAAGAATTTTTGTTTTATTTTGGTTAAGTAAATATATAAGGTGTGGATAATGTACTTATTTGAAATTTGTATATGGCTAATTTTTGTATAAAACAATGATTTGAAATTAGTTATATATATATATATATATATATATATATATATATATATATGATGTTATTGGTCAGTTGTAAATTATTTTGGTTACGATGCTATTTTTTATTTATTTAAGGTTTGCTTATGGGGTCATTGCAAGGCTAGTAGTTAAAAAAAAAAAAAAGGTTTCAAATGGGCTACACTATTTTTTTTTTTTTTAAATTATGTAACACTTTCTACCACAGTTATGCACCGTGGTAGAAACTCTATTACTTTCAAAGAAAATAAACTTTCTACCACGGTGCATAACAGTGGTAGAAAGAAAGACTTCCTACCACGGTCCGGAACTGTGGTAGAAAATAAACTTTCGATCACGGTGCAAAACCGTGGTAGAAAGTCTCTACTTTACTACTTTTTACCACTGCTGTTTCCACCATGGTTCAAAACCGTGGTAGAAAGTCTTTTCTATCGTGGTAAAAAGTTATTTTTCTTGTAGAAAAGTGTTAAAATTTTAATCCATTCTTGTGCTTATGATCACCACAAAGAAGACATCTGACGGGTAAAAAGAGTAACAAAAAAAAAAAAAAAAAAAAAAAAAAAAAAAATTGAAGAGGAAATCAAAGGGTTGCTGATTTATTAGTATGATTTCAAACTAATCAGATGTTCCTCTTTTACGTACCCAAATTATTACATGGTGGTGTCATTTTCATGGGATTCACGTTAAAATGCAGCTTCCGCCTTCAGGACTTCCCATTCAAATTCAAATCTATCAGTATATGCCAGCTAGTCAACAGTCAATGCCCTTTAATCAAGTTAAAACCATGAAAATTCAAGTTCTAATACCATATATATAAGTTGATTGCTTTGATGCATATATACACCCCTATCATCGCCTCTATTCTCCATTAATTGTATGTTTTTAACAACTACATTCTCTTTGAAGCTTATCAGCAAGATGAAGTCTGCAAGTACTGTTGTAGCCATTATAGCACTACTTTTCCTTCTGAACACCAAACCATATGAAGCTAGTAGGCTCCTGAATGAAAATCTTTTGATGCAATCTCTGCCAAAGGGACCCGAAGTCCCTCAGGCGCCGAACCCGGGCACCTCTAGTAGCACCATCAGCCAGAAGGGCTTCGCGGGTCATGCTATACCTCCTCCTCCTCCATACCAACAGCTCTTGGTTCCTTTTGGGGTGGCTATATAGTAGTGGTGAATGAAGTACTTAATCCTAGAAGCTGCCATTAATAACAATCTCACAGAACCTCATAATCATAATATATAGCAACAGACTAAATAAGACTGGAACAAACCAAATTGTATTATTTTTGTTCTTTATATGTAGTTGGGGTATTTTTTATTTGTTACATGAAAATAAGAGAGTATGCCATTGGTGTGTATTGTTGCATACCTCATGATACAAGAAATATTCTAATAAAAAGAAGTGAATTGTAATTATGTTTTCGCTTCATGTTGTTAATTATTTCTCCTTCTGCATGGAATGTAGAAAAGGAATTGGCATGCGGTACTATAAAGAGAGAACAGGTAACCAAGGGCGGAGCCCAGGATTTTACCTTGGTGGGGTTGTACTTAATTAAAAATAAATAAATTTATGATGACGCCAATGTTATTACCTAAGTCACACAATTCATTTCAAGAGGTGTCGTTCTCGCGTTCCAAACGCGCACCCGCTCTCACACTCTGCACGCGCTCTTGCTCAATTCTCACAATTTATGATTTAATTCTGCCGCTCTCACGCTCCGCGCGCACTCTCGCTCAATTCTCACTATTTATAACGTAATTATGTCGCTCTCATGCTCCCACTCTCGCTCCCGCTCCCGCTCCCGCTTTATATGACTTAGGTTATAACTAAAAACTATTTGCGAATATTTAATATTTTATCCACATATAGATTATAATAATAACAAAATTTTGCTTCGACGATCAAGTTAGAGACTTGATTGGCAATCAAGAAGAGGGATTGTTTCTAGGGTTTGTTTATGTGTGAGGTCGGGGGTCTAACCAGCTGGCAAGGTCAGGGGTTTGACCAACTGGTGCACTAGGTAAAATTAATGCCCACTTCTCCTGTCAACCAGGGCCTTTGGGTCTGAGTCGTTGCTCGCCATGATCGTCGGAGCCTTTCCTGGCGGTACCACACTCGTTCCTTGATCTCCTTTGACCTTTTCTTACAGGTTTTCGGTCGCAACATAATTTTTTCTTCAACAATTAGTATAATCTTCACTTATTTATATCTTAAATAAAAGCATATAATAAAACAAAGCACGAAATAAATTGTCTTAAGATTGTTGGAAAATATATATACTTCATGTGACATTTAAGATATAACAAACTTTATACTAATATGCCATGAGATAATTAATAATATGTCAGAAATAATTAATTAAATATGCAACTCTATATTTAATTTAACATGCAAATTAAAGCAATAGAATAATAATAAAAAATAAAGACTAGGACTAAAGCTAGTATTTGATATTATGTTCTTAAGACAATTTACGTCTTGCATGGTGCTAACGGTCTTTATGGCGCTTGTCTCCCAGAATACAATAGTCTCATTCATTAGTAACAGCACTTCAAACCTGTAGATACGACGAACCTCCTCTATGTAATACTCTCTCTGACTTAAAAATGTATCTATACATACAATAGAAAATATGAATTGAGTTCGATCTAAACCGGCCATTGAATTGGCTCGGATCAATTGCAATATGGCTAATTGGTATAGATATTGGCTCTAGTGATTTGAACCACTGGACCATATGGCTTGAACCCACACCCACACCCACTTGGGTTGGGTTCATGTTGAGAGAAGGAGGAAGATTGAATTGAACCCCTGAAATATGCAGCCAAGGGATATTTATAGACAAACCGGTGTCTGTTTATCACTAAACACAAACTCCAATAGATTGTAACTGTTGGTTTTAACACACTATGTGCCTGGTTTGAATTGCAACTCCTCATATCACAACCAGTGATCAACCTGTAGTGGGTTGCAATGGAGAGGTTGCACTGATCCATTCTATAACTTTCATGCATCTTCCGTCTTCGGCTCTAGAGAAGACATTATTGCAATGACTGTATTTCCCAAAGTACGGTAAACAACATATGGTATTTCTCAGAGGATATGTTCAGAGACTGATCAAATTTTCCATTACAGAATACATGAAAAGTTGAAAGACTCTTGGAAATTCACATTGAAACAGATGATATTTACGTTATAGTTTAACGTCATATACATTAACACCGATAGCCATATTCACACGCGTTACAATTCTAACATGATGAATACATTGAAGGCAAGTTTTATTCACACTTTTCTAACAAATATAACACAAGGGCACGTACAGTGTTTTTTTATTTATTTAAATTTTAAATTTTAAATACGTAAAAAAAATAATAATAAAACAAATCTCAAATTTCGGTCAATGGTGAGAAAGTATTGTTCAACATCTCTTCTCTTGGGGTTTTGGGATTTGGTTTCATTCTTCCTCTCGGTGGAGGTGGGTCTCAAATGGTCTTTTTTAATATTAAAATGGGCTTGAATTGCTGGTCTTGGAACAAGAGTGACAATGTAATTTGGTTGGTTTCTTCCTCTCCAGGTCAGCCTCAAATGGTCTTTTCATCAAAATTAAAAGGAAAATGATATTCAAGTTTATTTGTTAGGTTTACTTGTCATATTGAAACAATTAAGGCTATTGATGGTCCGAAGTGTGCCTAAAATCAGGTTACATTCCTCACCATCAATAACCTTAATTGTTTTACTTTGGTAAGTGAACCTAATATTATTAGACAAAATAAAATTGGCATGTGAGATTACTCATTAGTACTTGTCCCCAATATGAAAGAGAATACCAAGAAAAAAAAAAAGTTTATGACTTAACTAGGTTCAAATACATTTAAAGTAAAGTATTTGGTTCATTGAGGCATGTTCAAATTAGTATAATATTTACACTTATTATTAATATTACAAACCCACGTTTTTATTTGGTGTTAAGCATGTAGCATACGCCACACTTACACACGTTTGGTCACACTGCTCTATTTGGGACTTTTTCAACTCTATTTTGGGAAGTAAATTAATACGCACATTGAACATAAACTAGGTAGGAATACGGGTCGGGTCTTTGACTTGAGTCATCTCTGCGTATTTGAATTCCATATATTCTTTTTGCTTCAAATTCTCTTAGAATTGTAGTCAGCCTCCGTTTCTATTCATTCTCGTCACACTTGACCTCTGGTTTCTTTTTACAGTTTGTGACTTTCTTTTAATAAATAAAAAAAAATTATCAAAGGATTTTTTATCTATTTGTATGAAATTAATGTGATTCAAGTTAAAAAGCAGTTTGTTCCTGTAAGACTTCCCAATACATACCCATTCAAATTCAAATTCAAATTCAAATCTTTTAGTATATCCCAGCTAGTCAACAGTCAAAGCCCTTTAATCTAGTTAAAACTATGAAAAATTCAAGTGCCAATGTCATATATATATATATATATATATATATATATATATATATGATGCATATATACACACCCTTATCCTTGCATCTATTCTCCATTAATTGTGTTTTAACAACTACTCTTTCTTTGCATGCTTATCAACAAGATGAAGCCTCTAACTATTGTTCTATTCATAATGGCACTACTTTTCCTTCTAAACACAAAACCACATGAAGCTAGTCGACTCCTGAACGAAAATCTTTTATTGCAATCCCTGCCAAAAGGTCCGCCCCAATATCCGTCACCGAACCCGGGCACCAACAAGATCCCCATCTCTAGCAGCACCACCATCAGCCAGAAGGGATTTGCTGGTCATGCAATATTTCTTCCTCCTCCTCCATATCAACACCTCTTGGTTCCATTTGGGGTAGCTAGGAGTGGTAAATAAATAGACTAATCTTGCAAACTGCCATTGATAACAATCTCACAGAACCTCTCATAAACACAATATATAACGTACTGTTTAAATAAGACAGGAACAATCCCCATATTGTATTCTTTTTGTTCTTTATTTATGTAGTTGGGGTATTTTTTTTATTTGTACGTAGTGTATAAAAAAGAGGATGCTGTTGGTGTGTATTTGTGTATAT